TTTAAAAAAAGTAGCCTTTTTTCGAAAAAGCTTCACCTGCGTCTAGACTACAGCCGCGTTCTTTCAAAATTAAATCGAAAGAACGCAGCTTTTCTTTCGACGGTGGTACTCCTCATTTCACGAGGAAGAACGCCTTTTTTTGAAAGTGCTCTTTCGAAAAAAGGCGTTCTTGAATGCAAACAGGGCTTTTTCGAAAGAGAACATCCAGACTGCCTGGGTGCTCTCTTTCGAAAAAGCGGCTCACTTTTTCGAAAGAAGAGATTGCAGTCTAGATGCTCTTTTTCGAAAGAAGCTTTTTCGAAAGTATATTTTAAAAAAGCCTCTTTCGAAAGAGGCTTGCAGTCTAGACATAGCCCAAGAATGTGGGAGGAAGGGGGCACAGACCCTCACAAGGACCTCTGAATTCTGAAGTTGAATAAACTCAGCACCTTGATGGATGAGATAACGACTGTTTTAGGTTTCCACCATTAAGACCAAAGAGTATCTAGTCATTTTACACATACATATTCATTTATACTTCTAATGCATTCAAAGTAAAATAAAAACTAATACAGGCAGTCCCCGAATTACGCGGATCAGACTTACTTCAGATCCACAGTTACAAATGGGGTTTGCTGCCCGTCTCCCTGGTCTGCTGGAGACCAGCAGACCAGGGAGACAGGAAGCAAAGCCTCTGAGGACGCCGGCAGCGGGACAGCTGCGGCGCGTCTGGGCTGTCCGCTGCCCAAACCGCCAGCCTGGCCCTGCCCACAGTCCGCCCCCAGAACACCTGCTATAGGCATTCTGGGGATGCCCTCCCCCTGCTTTAAGGCTGGAGCACACCCGTACCCACTTCTCTCCCCGTGGTTGGTGGGGGTGTGTGTGGCATGCTGCCTCGCCTCCCCATAGTGGGGAGTGGGGCCTTGGCAAAAGGGGTAGGACTGTGGTTGGGGGCTTGCTTCCCCCAGCCCTACCTTCACTGACTGCTTATGCATGGGCCTTAAACTTAAAACCAATTGAGGAACCCGTTGAGGGCAAGAGGCATCACTGTGTCACCTAATAAAGCAGGCCTGTTTCCTGATATTGCTGACTGTCAGCCGTAGTGGCGGGTGTGAGATGTGGACACAATGTGAACAAGATGGAAGCCATCAACTTGTGTAAATTATGCCACCAAAATCATTTGGTCACTGCCAGTCTGAGCTGGCTTCAGACTGGCAGCCCTGCAGGAGAAGGGCTTAATATCACTTAATGTCATTGCCCTGAACAGCTCAGTCTCCCGGAGGTTATATGTGGGACCTATAGATGCTGGTAGCTCCACACTTACTGATTCTTACTTTCTATTTACTTAATATGCTTCAAAGGTACATTTACATTGCAGTGGGGGTAAGGGGTGTCCTTCCCACTGGGACTAGTGGGATGCTTGAACTACAATGGTAAAAACAGCAGTATGAATGCAGTGGCACAGACAACTGCTAAGGCTAGGCTGGGCTGCCACTGTGGCTGTACTGCTAGTTTTAGCTTGCTAGCGTGAGTGTCTGTGCTGGGAATTCCGTGTAAATGAGCCCACATCTTGGAGATGGAACTGAATGGTCTGATAGTCGGTGACTGAGTAATCGATTAGCAGAACATTATTCTCAATGTAGCTGAGGCCACGGAGGATTTTTTTAAATTAGTAACTTAAATTGTTTTCCCCTTCAAACATGCAGATTACATTAATATTTGCTAATTAACAGTGATGAGGAGGATACTGAACATGCCTTGTTAATTGTGAATTCTCTACTCTTGAATTAATTATTCCCTGTGCGAGGGAGAATTTTGTGTGTGTGTGTTGGCTGTGTGAAAAGCTTTCATGCAGCTGGTCTTTGTAACTCTCTTACAGCCTTTTTAGACTACAGGCAGTCCCCGGGTTACGTACAAGATAGGGACTGTAGGTTTGTTCTTAAGTTGAATCTGTATGTAAGAACTGGTGTCCAGATTCAGCCTGTTGAAACTGATCAGCGGCTGATTCCAGGAAGCCCGGGGCAGAGCAACTGGATGCCAGTTCCGACTTACATACAGATTCAACTTAAGAACAAACCTACAGTCCCTATCTTGTACGTAACCCGGGGACTGCCTGTAGTCTAAAAAGGCTGTAAGAGAGTTACAAAGACCAGCTGCATGAAAGCTTTTCACACAGCCAACACACACACACAAAATTCTCCCTCGCACAGGGAATAATTAATTCAAGAGTAGAGAATTCACAATTAACAAGGCATGTTCAGTATCCTCCTCATCACTGTTAATTAGCAAATATTAATGTAATCTGCATGTTTGAAGGGGAAAACAATTTAAGTTACTAATTTAAAAAAATCCTCCGTGGCCTCAGCTACATTGAGAATAATGTTCTGCTAATCGATTACTCAGTCACCGACTATCAGACCATTCAGTTCCATCTCCAAGATGTGGGCTCATTTACACGGAATTCCCAGCACAGACACTCACGCTAGCAAGCTAAAACTAGCAGTACAGCCACAGTGGCAGCCCAGCCTAGCCTTAGCAGTTGTCTGTGCCACTGCATTCATACTGCTGTTTTTACCATTGTAGTTCAAGCATCCCACTAGTCCCAGTGGGAAGGACACCCCTTACCCCCACTGCAATGTAAATGTACCTTTGAAGCATATTAAGTAAATAGAAAGTAAGAATCAGTAAGTGTGGAGCTACCAGCATCTATAGGTCCCACATATAACCTCCGGGAGACTGAGCTGTTCAGGGCAATGACATTAAGTGATATTAAGCCCTTCTCCTGCAGGGCTGCCAGTCTGAAGCCAGCTCAGACTGGCAGTGACCAAATGATTTTGGTGGCATAATTTACACAAGTTGATGGCTTCCATCTTGTTCACATTGTGTCCACATCTCACACCCGCCACTACGGCTGACAGTCAGCAATATCAGGAAACAGGCCTGCTTTATTAGGTGACACAGTGATGCCTCTTGCCCTCAACGGGTTCCTCAATTGGTTTTAAGTTTAAGGCCCATGCATAAGCAGTCAGTGAAGGTAGGGCTGGGGGAAGCAAGCCCCCAACCACAGTCCTACCCCTTTTGCCAAGGCCCCACTCCCCACTATGGGGAGGCGAGGCAGCATGCCACACACACCCCCACCAACCACGGGGAGAGAAGTGGGTACGGGTGTGCTCCAGCCTTAAAGCAGGGGGAGGGCATCCCCAGAATGCCTATAGCAGGTGTTCTGGGGGCGGACTGTGGGCAGGGCCAGGCTGGCGGTTTGGGAAGGCTGTGCCTCCCCCCGCCTAGCATACCAACCGCCCATGGGCACATGGAGTGAAATACTGGCCCCAGTTAAGTCATTGGCATATCTCTGATAATCCGAGGCCAGGATTGCAGCCCTTGACTCAAGAAGATTTTTCTCCTGCTTCTTGTCCTGTACTTGTTCTGTAAGCAAATGCACGCCAGGGCTCTCACTTCTGCATCTTTCATGAACTCTACGGTCATTAAAAAAGTTAAAAGCTTTTAAAAATAATTCCCTACAAAACTACAATTTCTTGCTCTGATTTTCACCTTTGGCACTGTAATGGTGAAACAATTTACCTATCTCATGCAGTTAGAAATCAAAATGAAATACAGCTGCACTCACAAGAGGGAAAATTATCTTCCTTCTCAAAGCAAGCATATTTCAGTGTACTATGTACATGAATCTAATAATTATTACTTCCTTCAGCAAAATAAAACAAACAAAGAAACTAAGAAAATGGGTCTGTAAAAGCATTTCATTGCTTGCCAATGTAAAAAAAGAGTATCAGGAAGAGCTTGTAAAACAAAATAACGTTTTAATGTTATTGAATGTACTTTAATGATTTATACTTATGCACAAATATCAAACATTCTCAAGACCAACGGGAGAAGATTTCAGCAAAATATTATTAATAATAGAATGACTCCAAGAATGTCAATAGCATCAAAGTCCTTAAATTACCAGAGTTGATGTAATATTTGGAATCTTTGCAAATGGCTTATAAAACCATAACCAAACATTTTGCAAATGATAATATACCACAAAGTTAGAACACCATATGATACACAAGTGGAAAAGAAAATATAATCTTCAAGATAAACTGACGTTAGGGGTATAAAAACCCATTTAATTGGTTAACCAGTTAATCATTCTCCCATTTAATTGATTAACTGCCTTCAAGACACTCGGGCTCCCCGTGGACAGAGGCTGTTCCACCGCAGCAACCCCAACCTGCAGGGCTCCTGGGCTCGCCATGGACAGGGGTTGCTCTGGGGTTGTCCAGAGTAGCCCCTCGGGCCCAGTTCCCTCATAATGCTGGAGCAGACCGCTCCAACACCCATCTGTTAAAGATTAACTGGAACCAGAAAGCATCACCCATTAGGGTGATGTGAACCAGTTAATCTTTCACATCCCTAGCTGACATGCTGTAAACTAAATATTATTGAAACATTTAAATTAACCCTAACTGAACACTAATTTGAGGCTTTGTTTCTTATTCATACATTTTTGCAAAATTTTAGCCTTCTTTTCTGCCATCTCGAGGAAAAAAAAACCCCACAAAGAATCTGTCATATCTCCCAGGTAAGCATAATTAATTAATTAAAATCAGAGTTTCCACCACAAACATCCAACAAAACTAATTCTGAATTGTAATGAAGATAGGATTTAAATGTAAACATTTGAAAACTTTCAAAGTAATATATTTTCGCTGGAACTACCCAACATTTTGAGTCAAGTTCACTGTTCTTTTAAAGTTCTGGTTATGGGTATTAGAGCATTTAAACTATTCACATTTTTTAAAAGTGTCCTTTGTTGTTGAAAAACATTACTTGCTTAGATTTTTCTAAGGACATTTTGTATCTGTCAGAACAGTTAGAACTCTTATCTGGGACCAATGAGATGGAGGTTTGTTGAGCATGTGGTTTGCTTTGTTGTTTTTTAAATACTTCCTTTAGTTAACAAATTTTCTGACAGCAGATTACTTTCTAGTCACTGTTTTAGCAGAAGTTCTTACCTCTTGTGTTTTTACATTTATATATCCATAGTGAGTTCTGAGAGGTCGCCTTTGTATGTGGGAAAATGGCATCCGTTTCACACCAGTTTGTCCAAACCAGTTTAGAATCAAAGGGAAGTTTACTTCATTTGTAAGATGAACAATGAGGAGGAGGAATGCTGCGACGGAAATTACTGCGATAATGGATTTTCTCTATAATTGGGGAAGAAGAGAAAGTGTTTTATTAAAAAAATAAGGATCAGTTTCAAAAACAACAACAACAACAAATCTTGTTAGTATGCTTTCCCTTTTTCAAATCTTGATCTGCTTGCACTTACTACAGGAAGCAATAACCAGTAATGCTACAAGATCCCAATAAGATAGGTAACTGAATAATTTTACATCTTAAAACTTGAATTTCCAGTTGTTTTAAGAGATCTGCCTAGGGCTGGATGAAAAAGTAGAAAATTTCTTATGAGAAAAGTTTATCACCTTTTTAATCAAAATTGGAAAAATATTAACCAGCAGTACAGCTGACCGAAAAATGGGATGAATTTTTCATGAAAAATCCATCTTGGAATGTCATTATAAAATAAACATTTGGACTGTTTTAATCAGCTATAGTACCCCTGCATGGCATATATGACTGGTAGTCCCATTCTGGCATAAAGCTGATGCACTAAAACAAAATACACAATGACGTCTATGCAGATTAAAATGATATATGATTGTTAAGAGAAAGGGACAGTTTCTGATCTAATTTATTTCTTGTTCATTTTAAATCAATCTAATGGAATCAGTGAAATTACCTTGGGTTTACATACTGTAACTGAAATCAAAATCTGACCCCTCCATTTCTTAGAATAAGTGAAGCCAGACTTTCTTTCTTTCCAAGTTCACAGATTTACAACGTGAGCCCTTATTACCAAGGACAAGTTGACCTCAGTTGTTAATAATTTAAAAGGTCTCTTGAGCATTCACCTACTTAAACCCTGCTTTTCATCTCTAATCCACCTAAATGTGAACCCACCTAATCTTTAACCAGGAAAAAAAAGGTATTAATTACAGCTGCAGGACAGTGACACATTTCAACATAATGACTTACAAATAATTTAATGAATCCTACACTTTTAACAGGACCAGAGAAAATGCTTCCAAATTATTTAGGTGCACATCAGTGCAAGTGATTATGGACTTTAAATACAATACAACTTTAGAATTTACTCCACAGAATACACAGTTTTAAAGCATTTCTTAGTGGAATATTACATGTATAGGCTTGAGGTATTTATATACTACTCCCATTGGATTACTGCTTTACCTCATTTTGCTGCTATTTAATCACTATATTGAAAGTAATTCTACCATTCTAAACAGTATAAATGGAACTTCAGTAAAAAGAAATAAATCAAACCCGTTAAGAAGGTACAGTCGTTAAGTACATATCTCTTAATGATATATGTGAAAACCTGACTGTTAATGTCTGTATTTAATTGCAACCCAGAATAGCTGCAACTAGCGTAACATATCTGTGATGGCTGTTATGTGTAGATGCTAGCTGCTGTACCGGAGATGGAAGAATGAGAAGACCTAGGACTCAAGTATGTGAAGATATTAATCATTTCCTTCCCTGGACTTTCATTGCACTGATTCATCAGATTGGAGAAACTGAAATTCAGTTTTGGGTAGTGTTGGTATTGTGTGTTTTTCCCATTACACAGAAAATATTATATAAAAGAACCACATGGACTTTGCGGGTTGCAAATAACGTGTCTGTGTGTGGTATGCACAAGTGTATATTTTATAGCATGTGTATATGCCTGAATTATACACACATACACATTCAGCTTGCAGTACAGATATTATGGGTTAGTTACATGGTTTGTCTGTTTTGACATCTTGGAACAAAATAGTTTTATAAGTATTGGGAGGCAAGACTTGCTGAGATGGGAAATCAGAGAGGAAGGGGTTGCTGAGAGAGAAGTGGAAATTTGTAGTTCTCCAGTGATGAGTTTTAGTGAATGAAATGAGAGGCAAGTTATTCATAAACCATTAAAAAAAGTTAAAAACAAGCAAGTCTCAAGAACAGAACAGAGTACAATAAAATAGCAACTCTAGCATCCGGAAAGCCTAAGAGCCTGTGAACATCTCATCAATTGCATTACAAAAGATTTACATTATATTGCTACAAGATGGCCAGCATGGGCACATATGCCACTCCACTGTTCCAGATAGAATCTGTTTGATTACATATGAAACTTTTAACAGTTCTCAGTGCCCAGGGTGTGCAGATATCCAGGAAGCAATCACAAGGGTATAAGTATACATTTGCTGGAATATTTACTCTTATTTAGGACTTTTCCCTAAGTAAGTATTGCACAACGTAAAAGGGATTGCCAGACTTTATTTCAATGCATGCTTCCACTACACTTGCAAGACTTATCTGACCCTGCTCAAGACATGGCACTGTACTCTATTCCATCACCAACAGATAGCTGCCTACCTTCCAGCTTTATGAAAGCCCTTTAGCCATAGGCACTGACTCTATGGGTGCTTTGAGACTTAAGCACCAACTGAAAAGAAAACCCCCAGGAGTGCTCAACACCCGTTGGGCTGGATTAATGTTTTAAGGGCCCCACTCTCCAGATTATGTTCCCATCCCCCATTCCACCTGTGCTCTGCCCAACGACCTATCCTTGTTAATCCTTTTTCCCCCCACCCTAAGCCTCTACCCATCACTCCATTCCAAGGCACAGC